CCCCCTCCCCCCAGCCTCACTGCAGAGGCCTGATGTCACTTCCTTAAAATAAATCATGACATCATAGCTGAGCTGCCACAGCCCGGCTCCCTCTGCTGGCCGCAGCGTCTCCCCGCGCATCACGTCATGTGACATCTGTGTTATGGGATCTTGTTGATTAGAACACAGACCTGGGAAGACCCTCCCTCCTCCTCCCCCCCCCCCCCCCCCCCCCCCCCCCTCCTTCTTCAGAGTCTGTGCAGGAAGACCCTGCATCTCTCTCCTCCTCTTCCTCTTCCTCTTCTGCTGATGCTGATGGAAGCACAACACACCTCCCTCCCTCACCCACTCTCTCTCTCCTCCCGCCTCACTCACCAGAGACAGTGCACAGTATATTGCCTGCCTGCTGCCATGGAAACAGGTGTGGTTGTTTATGACAGTGAGAGGCCAGTGTGCAGGGAGACACACACACACACACACACACACACACACACGCAGGCAGGGGGAGACATAAAGATGAAGATCCACTGAGCAGGTGGATGGAATAGAACCCCCAACCCCAACCCCTCCTCTGAAGGTACGCTGTCGCCTGTCTGTGTGTGTGTGTGTGTGTGTGTGTGTGTGTGAGCGTCTGATTATTCTCAGGTAGTTTATCAAGCCTTGTTACGACACGTTACCCATGCTGCTCTGCTGCGGCCGGTCCCTGACAATGAAGTTCTCAAGTTCAGAGCGACTCACAGAGAGAGAGAGAGAGAGAGAGAGAGAGAGATATGGACCGTGGTTAATCTTAAAAACGTATTATTTATTTAAAAAGCCGTGAAGCTGAAGCTGCCTCACAGTCGCAGTCCACGGTCAGGATCCTGCATCGATCTGCAGGAAACTACAGCGATCGCAACAGCTTTTCTTTTTTTACTTTTCTCCCTACATCCCTCTCTCTCTCTCCCCCTCTGTCTCCCCCTCTCTCTCTCTCCCTCTCTGGTCCTGGATCGTCTCTCCGTGCTGGATGTGTGCTCAGTATTTCCCAATGGTGATTAATCCTCTCAGCTGCTGCTGAGGAGCTGAAAGATTCTGATTCCACCATCAGATGCTGCAGTCTCTCTCTCTCTCTCGCTCTCTCTCTGTCTCTCTCTCTCTCCCCGTGCTTCACTTCCAGTTTTGTCTGTTCAACCCGGACTTTTTTTTGTTCTTTTTGCAGCACACTCCAGCCATGGTTTTCAGGTGTGTCTCCTCTGCGTGTCTCTGTGCAGGACACCAAGATCGCTTCCCTGGAGCGCAACATCCGAGACCTGGAGGACGAGATCCAAATGCTGAAGGCGAACGGTTTACTGAACTCCGAGGACCGCGAGGAGGAGATCAAGCAGATGGAGGTCTACAAGAACCACTCCAAGTTCATGAAGAGTAAGGTAGGAAAACGTGGAGCGTGCAGAGAGAATACCAAACGGAGCCGCGTTACTTCAATTAGCTGCTGTTGCATTTAGTGTCATCAGCAAAGTGTCCTGCTGGCATCAGTGTGAGGGACGAGTCGCTGCTGCTTTGATTTAGTCGTGAAAAAAAAAACAAAAAAAAAACTCCTGAGACTCTTCTGGTACCTGAAGAAAAACTTCACATCACATGACAGGAAGTTCAGGCAGGGGTCAGAGGTCAGGGTCACGTTTCCTCATCAGACGTCCAGTCATTTAACTTTGAAGGACTTTAGTTTTCAACAGTTTGAGTTCAAACTCCGACGTCAACGCTGTCGACACGAGCTTCAGTTTTTAGACCAGTTTTCATTTCCGTCGCGTTCGCTCCGTGTTAACGCGACAAATGACTGTGTTTGTGTCGTCAGACCTCGAACCACAGCGTTGACTGAGTGTGTGTTCGTGAGGCAGGCAGGCAGAGACTCTCTACACTCTTGTATTTTCCTATTTTTAGACCCCGTGTCATCAATCATGGATAGAGACGATGTATTATACATGACAAATGCAGGGGGCGTCGGTCCCAAATCCATTTTTAATGAAAAGTGTGTTGATTCGAACAACGTCGGAGCCGCGGTGAATAAAATAATCCGGTCTGGTCACGTGTGTCCCGCAGATCGATCAGCTGAAGCAGGAGCTGTCCAAGAAGGAGTCGGAACTGTTGGCTCTCCAGACCAAACTGGAGACGCTGAACAACCAGAACTCCGACTGTAAGCAGCACATCGAGGTGCTCAAGGAGTCGCTCACTGCCAAGGAGCAACGCGCTGCCATTCTGCAAACAGAGGTGAGCGGCGCTGCCTTTCTTCTTTGTTCACGTGCATCGACTCCGCCCCCTCATCCAAACACCGCACCAACACTTCTGTCCACACAAACTTTCTTTTCTTTATCTGGATTTTGAGTCGACATAAAGTGAAGGGAGCTACAGAGCTTGGCCCCATCACTTCCTCCATTTAGACTCTCCACAAGATTTGCATCTACAACATAAAGTCCGTCTCTAGGCGTAGCCAGCTGGGGGAACTCCCGCTGTGCTAAACACATTATATCTCTCATGTTTTCACTCATTTCACTTTTTCTCTCCTTTTCTCCTGAGTTTCTCTCACAAACACAAACATACGTACTAGCCTTTACTACAGACGGTGTAACTGGATAGAGCAGTGATTTTCAACCTCGGGGTCACGACCCAGCATGGGGTCACCTGAAATGTCTAGTTATTGAACGAAAAAAATCCTTTTTAAAATAATGATTTAAAAAACCAGTCACAGTCGTAAACAACTGTTTCCTGAATATAAATTGAGTTCAGATAAAAAATTAAAGCGTATAAAAATATCTGTGCATTTTGATTGACAGCTGTGATCATGTGACTACTAAAATGTCTCTGGGGTCGCCAGAAATTTGTGACCGATCTGATCATCAACAAACACTCCATCTTCAGCCGAGTCTAACTGATCTGCTCCAGTGTCTGTTCTGGTCGTCTTCAGTCTCCTCTTCTGTCCCCGGGGTCGTTTGTCCGGGTCGTGCGTTGACATGAAACCGTTTGTCGTTCCAGGTGGACGCTCTCCGCCTGCGTCTGGAGGAGAAGGAATCCTTCCTGAACAAGAAGACCAAGCAGCTGCAGGACCTGACGGAGGAGAAGGGAACTCTCGCAGGAGAAATCAGGGACATGAAGGACATGCTGGAGGTCAAGGAGCGAAAGATCAACGTCCTGCAGAAGAAGGTGAGAGTGAGGGGGGGGGTGGACCACTGACCTCTGACCTCCTGACCTGGGGTTTACTACCCTGAAAATATATATATAGAGGTGGAAATATATGAACTGTATTTCCACAGTCCTCAACGTTAACCTAATCATCTCTGCTGGTCTTAGATTGAGAACCTGCAGGAGCAACTGAGGGACAAAGACAAACAACTGGGAAACCTGAAAGACAGAGTCAAGTCTCTGCAGACCGACTCCAGTAACACAGACACTGCACTGGCCACCCTGGAGGAGGCGCTGTCAGAGAAGGTAAAGGCTCCAACAACGAACCCTGGTTTTGGTCCTGAACTTGTAAAAAACATGTATATCTTTGTCTCTGTGTCTCTGCGTGTGGGGGGGGTGGGTGGGGTGGGGGGTAGGAGAGGATTATTGAGCGTCTAAAAGACCAAAGAGAGAGAGAAGACAGAGAGCGTCTGGAGGAGGCGGACACCTACAAGAAGGAGAACAAAGACCTGAAGGAGAAGGTCAACAGTCTGCAGATAGAGTTAACGGAGAAGGAGGTGAGAGAGGCGCCGGTACGACGCCGCCACGCTGCTAACATCCTGGTCATGACCTGCCCGTCTCCCCCTGTCGTTCCCCTGCAGTCCAGTCTCATCGATCTGAAGGAACACGCGTCGTCACTGGCGTCTTCTGGCCTCAAGAAGGATTCAAAGCTCAAATCACTGGAGATCGCCATCGAGCAGAAAAAAGAAGAGTGTAGTAAGTTGGAGACGCAGTTGCAAAAAGTAAGTGCATGACGTAGATTTGGTTTAAGTTAGAATCCCCAGTTTTACCCAACGTCTTCACTTCTTCAGTTATTTGTTCGGACCAGGCTTTTATGGTTTGAAACTAATTTTCAGTTCTAATTTCATGTTTTTGTAGAACTTTACTGAGTCGTTTCTGGGTGAGATTTGAGTTGACCAAGTCGACTCTTTAACCTCCTGGGTTTAAAGATTTAACAGCAGCGTTCCATAATTATTTTTTCACATTCACGGTCCTTCCTGCGTTGTCATTCTGAATTTATGCCTTTTTTTTTTAAAACATTGAAAATCAGAAAAATGTCCAAACTCCGAGGACGTCAGGCAGCCGTACCAACCTTGATGCACAGAACGCAGCTACAGTTTCATCTGCTGAAGCAGAAAATGTGCTGAACGACAGCTAAACAGTCGACCAAGTTGACTCTTTAACCTCCTGGGTTTAAAGATTTAACAGTAACTTCAAACGAAATGTAAACAAAACTCGTAGGAAACTCTCTCCAGATGCTAACACACGACGGCTAACCGGAGTCCAAGCAGTTTTTATACAGTTCCATCACCAGAATGTTTCTTCAACAGACTGGGGAGTAATGTGATTCTGCCTGGTTTTAATCACATCCATCGGAGTTATTGATTTCTGTAATGTATCCTCTGTTGAAACGCTGCAGACGCTCAGAGCAACTCCTCGTCCACCGTCCTCTGTCTCAAGGCCGTAATCCGTTTCACATCAGTGTCTGTTTTATGTGTCGCTCCATGTTTACGTTATTCACATGAGCGTTTATTATAGAACCGTGACGAAGCTCTGCAGCGTCCGCAGCGTCCTCCCACTGACCATGATCACAGTCGTAAACACGGGAACATTCACACACACTTATACACAGGCAGTATCTGCATAAGAGACTTTCATTTGATTACTACGGGAAGGGGCTCGACTTGTCTGCCTGTCTAAACACACCACTGAAGAAAAAATACCACAGCTATGCTAACGATATGACTGCTAGCTACTGGTCACTGCTAGCTACTGGTCACCGCTAAGTCACAGGAAATTTTGAATTCTGCTCCTGTTGTCAGCAGGCGGTAGTAAGGACAAAGTCATTGGCTACATCAGATCATGTGTGATTTTTTTAGTCTAAAAATAATTTGTTTTCTCTTTATTTATTATTGTATATATAAATATTTTATAAATTATTTATCTGCATTCAATTTTGACAAATGTGTGAATTCCCAGAGAAAGTTCTTGGGGGTGCTATTGTCATGCCCCCCCCCTCCCGTGTCCCCCCCACACCCCCATGCTAACACAGCCTATGGCTGGTTCTATGATGATGTTGTTTATCCTTAGCTTCTGTACAACAGTCAAACATGTATTTGTATCCTGTCTGATCCTGCTGTTTCTTTATCCTCTGGCTCCGTCCGACCTCTAACATTTACTCTGCTGGGTTCGTTCCCACTCCTCCCTCCGACCCCGCTGCTGTTGCACTGTAGCAAGCTGAGCAGCTTTTCAGTCACATGAACAATCCTGTAAGTTTCTCCTCTGGTCTGGGGGGCACACGGTGAACGCATGAGGACAATGACAACTTCTCTGACATGTGTTTGCTCGGTGGTGATTGTGCCAGACCCCAGCACAGGTTTCTGCTTTCACCCACTGCCCCGCTCTGATGCATGTTGACCATTGCACTGTTCTGGGTTTTACTACGCTTCAAAATGCACTCAGAGTCCTGTGAACCGTATTCATTCTGCAGGTGTTTGTGTTTGTGGTAGAAATGGTGCAAACTGCTCATAAAAGGCGATTGGAAGGCTAGAATCAGAAACTGTTACGATACGACCTTGATAAGTAACCGTCTGTACCGCCCCCTGGTGCTGTGTACAGTAAAGAGTTTTTAAGTGAAAGGACAAACAAAGCAGTGACAACGAACTTCAGATTTCCTTCTCCTCCTCTCCTCTCCTCTGGAGTGACCTGGGCTTGCATGACTTGGTTTCTACTGTGTTGCATGTTGTCACTGTCGGTGTCGCCACGCTTCTCTCTCATCTCAGTGTGGTGCACTTCTGCTGAGGTGTCAGTCGTGGTTGGAAGTCACTGCAGCGTTCTGGTTGATGACTGTGTGATATTTATTACAGTAGGACACAGTATATATAAATATATATATATATTAAATATATTTCTGAGATTAGACACTCACATTATTAGATTAGACAAATAAAACATGATCAATAATTTGGCTTTGGTGAAAAAATTGTCGCTACTTTTTTTCTTAGCTTGACTTGAAGTACAGTTTGGCTTTGGTGAAAAAATAGTCGCTACTTTTTCTTAGCTTGACTTGAAGTACAGTCCTGTGCATTTTAGGGCCGCTGAGTGGAGCTAAATGATAGCCGTGCTAAAGCTAATGAACCAGCGCCAGTGATGACGCCTTTGTTTACAACAGTCGTTTACTCATTCAGAAAGAAAGAGCGGTGGAGGTAGTTTATGTAGGTCACCGCTGGACTCCACGCTGCCGCCTGTATCTGTGACACGTTGACATTTTAATGGATATGAACCGTTTTCCTCTGTGTGTCTCCCCCCGATGGCTGGGTATAGAAAGCTCACGAGGTGGAGCAGCAGTCGGGCTCACGAGGAAACCCAGAGTACACGGACCGGGTGAAGATGCTGGAGAAGGAGGTGGGCTTCTACAAAGACGAGGCCAGCAAGGCTCAGACAGAGGTGGAGAGACTGCTGGACATCCTACGAGAGGTCGAGACCGAGAAGAACGACAAGGACAAGAAGATCGCCGAGTTGGAAAGGTGATTGGTCCGGAGTTTCTTTTCACTGATTCTGCCCTGTTTTGTTTTTGTTCAGTGTTGTTATATGAATGACAAATGTCAATCGGAATCATTTGCATAAAACTCTTTCCTATTAATAACTAAATAGTTTGAAAAATGAACAGGTCGAGTGTGCAGGTATAACATTTATGTTTTTTATATTGACCTAATCCTGTAACACCGCCACAACAGTTTCGAATGAACACAGTAATATATTTAATTTATAAGACTAGTTATTGTCCAGTCGATGCAGGAACAGCACCTCATAAAAGTTGGATCAGCAAAAAACAAAATCAAATCAAACGCAGCACAACCAGTACCTGCACTAAAACAGAGCTGAAAAAGTCAAAGTTATAAGACAAAAACACAAATTGAAACATCTTTACGATCTCCTCTCATATTCCTACCTGGCAAAAAAATATATTTTATGTGGAGAATTACTGCCATCTGCTGGACATTTATATTCACCTAAACAGCTCTGATCCAGATTTACAGCAAAGCTGAGACACATCTCCATCCCATAAAGCAAACTTGGTTCATCGTAACGACGCCCCCTTCAGGGCCTTAAAAAAGTTGGTAAAAATGACTTCCAGAAGTTCTTCAAAAACAACTTTAGATGTTTATCTTCACTTTTAAAGAAATCCACGCCGACTGTACCGTAAAACCTTCAACCAACAACTAATTTCTTTCTGCACAGTTTCTGCCGTGTACTTCAGTAACTGTACACGTCATTCAGGCTCGTCCTGTCAAAGTCCAGAGTAGTTTGGTGTACTTTGGTGTACTTTGGTGTACTTTGGTGTACCTACAGTCATGGACCTGTTTAACAGTCCACAGGCTGCTGGTGAAAACTGAGTTCATATTAAATGCCCTTCACTCACACTCTTAATGGATGAGATTTCAGTTAAAAGCCCTCGTAAACAACCCTCGCCCCGCGCTCCCAGCAGCTCCTGGCTCTCGCTCCTCACAGTCAGAGCTGCTCCACTCTAAAGCCGCCAAACGTGTCGCGTTTCGCCTTGAAAAAAACGTACGCCTTTCTCCTCCGTCTGCATTTCCTCAACATGTGGTAAGAAGGTTCTTTTCATGTCAGTTTGATGTTTGTCAGCTGTTTGATAAATGCCCTGTTTTTGTTTTTTTCCCATCAACTCCCACCGTGTCTGTGTCTGTGTCTGTCCTCCTTCGCTTTGTTCCTTCATCATTTCGTGAGCCATTCCCTTTATTTAAATGTTTTTTGTTTTTTTTTTGTCTCCATCTTCCTGTTTTGGGACACCAGTCCCCATCAGCCTCTCCCTCGCCCCAGCCCTCGTCCCGGTGGCAGAGCTCCCCCTGACCCGCTCCCTTCTGTGACTGCTGCTCCTCAGCAGATAGGGGGCGTGGTGTGGGATTTCCTGGGAAAGTGAGTGCTCTGCCCTGGCACTTCGGCTCGGCTCTGTACCTCTGTTCTCTCTGACTGTTGCAACTGCATCTGGTTCCACCAGTGTTCCTGGGCGTGCCTGCTCCCTGTGGGAATCCTAACCCTTTGTATCCACACAGCTAACTCTCCTGTTTTCACCCCCAGACGCACCGCGATACAAAGATCCCTGGATTAATTTTTTTAGCATGTGTTCACTCCCACATTGATGAGTAATTTCTTGCTCTAAGCATTTGACACTGCCTTCCTGCCTCTGTGCATGTGTGTGTATGGAAAAAGATGGAGATGAAAAAAACAAAAAGACGAGAGTTGAGCTTGTGCTGCATGTTGGCATAACCAGACTGTATTTCAGTACAAATGATAAGAAATTAGTCAAAGGTCGACGTTAAAGATAAGTTAACAGCTGTTGACATCATACGTCAGAGAGTTTTCCTGAGAATAATAATGATAATTAATAAGAATATTAACTTTATTGATCCCATATTTGGGAAATCGAACCCAGGACTCTCTGCTTCTGAGGCAGACGTTGTAACCGCTGCATGGCAGTAAACACAGCTAATAGTTGGATACAAGGCTTTTCTTTTACTTTAAATGTGTTCAGAACACTGTTAGCACTAACAGCACAGAGGAGTCTTCAGGTGTCCAGTTCAGTCTGTCTCCCGTCTCTGTCCCTGATGGTTGTTTAACTACCCTGACTAACTGCCCCAGTGCTGAACACATGGTTGTTGTGAGAAGCCTTTTGCGAGTTTTGGGTCTGGATCAGCACGTGTACCCGTGTCTGAAACATCTTCCCAGGGAGACCCCCCACTGGACGGGGGACCACCCCTGACAGTAGAGCAGGTCACAGACGTGTCCGACGCCGACTGGGTCTGTGATGAAGTCAGACGCTCTGGAGTCTGGTTTGGTTTGGACAGGTTTTCCTTTGTCTCCTTCTTGCCTAGTTGGTCCCCCTCCTTCTGCTCGACACCCAGTCCCGCTCCTCTTCTTCTACTGCCCGGTTCTGCTGCCTGTCTGACTGCATGTCTGCCACCCCCAGGCTCCACAGCAGATGTACATGTCCCCAGGTGCATCCTGCATTATAGCTACAGTGTGTGAGGCTGTATCAACAGCATCAACAGCAGCAGCGGTGCTGATGGTTACACGCACCCGCGTCCTGGGTCAACTGTGATCTCCGTAGGGTTCTGTGTGTCCTTATGTTCTGCTTCTAACGTCTCTTTCTTTCTTTACCTTTTTTTTCCCTGTGTTTCGTCATCTGCCCACTGCTCTCCTTCCATCCTTCCTTTTGTTTCTACTTTTCCACTCCTCCAGCCTAGCTCCCAGGTAAGCAATGCAACTGCCCCCACCATCCCACATCTGTGTCTGCCTCGTCTTAGCCGTAGTGTTTCTGTTAGCCGGTCTAACACTGCAGCATGGTCCAGAAATCAAACACCAGCCTGACCTGAACTGGAATCAAACATGGAATCCTTCTCTCTTGAACAGACAAGGAGGGAAAGACCAGACCAAGAAGGGTCCCAACATCAAACTGGGACCACAGGGGGACAAGAAAGGCTTGGGACAGGACCCTCGTAAGGACAGTTCCATGGATGCTGGACATCACTTAAAGGTCAGGGATTTTTTCCTCCTGAGGAAACCTGAGGTCAGCTATTTGTGTCTGATCTGTGCCTTTTTTTTTTTTTTTTGTATTTCCATAACGTGGGTCAGCTGGAGGAGTTAATGAACACCCTGGAGAGAACAAGGCAGGAACTAGACGCCACCAAGCAGCGTCTGTCCTCCACACAGCAGTCTCTGCAGGAGAGGGACACGCACCTCACCAGCATGAGACAAGAGCGCCGGAAACAGTTGGAGGAGATCCTGGAGATGAAGTTAGTGTCATGATGACGTTTGATGTTAGCATTGAAGAGACGAATTGAAGTGATTTCTCAGCGGCGTCCTTTTATCTCACCTTCAGACAACAGGCTCTGTTGGCGGCCATCAGCGAGAAAGACGCTAATATAGCACTGCTGGAACTGTCTGCTTCCAATAAAAAGAAAACCCAGGAGGAGGTGCTGGCCCTCAAGAGGGAGCGGGACAAACTGATGCACCAGCTGAAACAACATGTGAGTAACTGCTCCCTGTGTCGGAGCTTGTTGCCAAGGCAACATTTAATCAGAATTTTTTAAAAATATATCTGGACAAGGCAACAGAGTCCATTTCATCTATAGGTTTCTATTATAATCACGCAGAAACCGACTTCACCATCTGTTCTCCGATCAGACGCCGTGTTTCTTTATTTTGCACAGCTCAGCCAGGTATTATTTACAGAACTGTAACTGTGCAGGACTGTGACGAACACAAGGAAACATTTAATTATGGTCAAAACAAAAACATCAATATTTACCTGTAGGAAAATGTCAATATCTTTTTTGTAAACACATCCTCCGTGACCAGGTGATTTTCTGACCATTTTTGTCTTTCCTTCCAGACACAGAGCAGAATGAAACTGATAGCAGACAACTACGAAGACGACCAGTTTCACTCTCACGGTCCTCACCACCCCCAGCCTCAGCCCCCCCACGCTCCACAGCAGCCCCAGCCCCAGTACCCCCACCCACCCCACGGCCCGCACGGCTTATCCACATGTTTCACACCCCCAGCATCCTCAGCACCTGCAGCATCCGCCGGCCGTCCAACAGCACCCTCACACCCAACAGGCACAGCCGCAGTACCCTCACCCACCACACCCTCAACACCCGCAGCACCCGCAGCACCCCCAGCAGCACAGTCAGCACCCACCACCACCCCTCCAGCATCAGCAGCACCCCCGCCCGCCTCAGCCTCAACACCCGCACCAACAGCACCCTCAGCACCCGCTCCAACACGCCCACGGACACCCTCCCCCCCAGCATCCTCACCCTCAGCACCCGCACGGCCCCCCCCAGCAGGGTCAACACCCCCAGCAGGGTCAACACCCCCAGCATCCTCAACATCAGCACCCACAGCACCCGCACCACGCCCAGCATCCACGTCACCCGATGCCCCACCATCGTGGAGGCCCGGCCCGAGGACCCCCACACCCCAGTCACCGCCCGACTCCAGACCAGGTCGGGATTTACGTTTGAAGCAAAGAACTATTTCATTTTGGATAAAGTAAAAGTAAAACATAAAAAAAAAATAAAACTAAAGCAAGGGCGTAAAAATCGGGTCGTTTCTCACATCTCACTGGCCCTGGATGGAAAACTGATTCATGTTTGTTTACATGTAAAAAAAAATGTTACTGAAGTTGAAGTAAATCTAATTTGACCGCTGTGTTCATTAGTCATTATTATATTAATCCGTTTTTCTTGTCACCCCCAGGATGACGAGGAGGGCATTTGGGCATAATCTCTGCTGTGACGACCAAAGCTCCAGTGTTGTTTTGAGGGGTGAGATTATTGACACCTGTTTTCACCGTACCTCCAGTAACCACTGGGTTTGAAGTCAAACCTTTTTTTTTTCCATTCAGATGATTCAGTCACTACTGGAGGAGCACAACCACGCCATGACGACGAAACATTATCCAACCAAACATTTATTACTTCCACTTTATCAACACCCGGCCCTGGGATTTAAGTTTTTATATTTTGGGAATGAAGAGGGTGGACTCAGGTGATGAGGCCAGTGCAGGACGGCTGACAGCTGGAGAGGTCAGTCTGGTGGTTTTGACCTTAACATTATTTAGTCTAAAGTTGAGATTTGACTGGAACTGAACTGAACTGAACTGGTTTTGTTTTCCAGGTGACCTCAGACAAGATTGTGCGATCGATAAATTCTGCTTCCTTTCACTAACATCGCATTCATGGAACTGAAGTGGCTGAAGCTCCAGCGTTCTAAAACAAATCCTTCGCTGGACAAGAACGTGATCGACAACCCTTTTCCCAGAGGTATCGCAGGTCACCCCACCTGTCTGCCACCACCTAGTGGTCAAACCTCTTCAGGCCAAAAACAACAACTTCCGGATCTTCCTAGCAGAAATCCCATGACTGCGAGGGAGCCTCAGTGGTTTTTTTAACTTTCCTTCATTTTGTTCTTCGTTTGAGCCAAGATCGCGGTCTCGCTCCTCTGCTTCTGATTGGCTTCCACGTCCAACTGCGTCACAGTTTCCTGCTCCTCACTGCCCTTCGGAGCTACTTCGTGACGTCTACCTAGCGGTCATCAGCCTCGGTGTGCAGCCTCTGGTTATTTTTTTACCTGATTGTGGCACATGGTAACACTTGTTTTTTGTATTTTTTACAAACGCCATCACTAAAGCATGTCTGAGAAGGTCAAGGTGTCCCGTTTTTTACCTTCACCCCTAAAACCACAGGACAGCATGTGTCATTCCTGGTCGGTTGAAGGATGAGTTTGGAGCTGACGGATCGAGGAGACCTTTGACCTTGCTTGTAGCACTGAGGGGTTTCCATGGCTGCATGAGCAGGACCCTTCAGTTCTTGGGCTTGTTTTTAGCCTTAAGACTGTGGTTGTCATTGACATCGCTCTTCATGTTACCTCATCAGAAGTAGTCAAAAAAAAAAAAGAAAAAAGAAAGAATCAATCTATGCAGATATCAATAGAGTGAATGCATTGTTTTGTTTGGTCATTGGTTGTTAATCAATGTGTTAATGAAACATCCAAAACAGAAAGGCCAGAATGGTCCAAACATTTTCATCAAGTATTTTTTAGTTTCTTTTTCGAGGCTATGCACCTATGCACCTCCTCTGTGTTGCAGGAATATTTTACTAATGGTGCTTCTGCTGGTGCTCAAATTAAATGGTGTCAGAAGACCTCATCAGGAGCATCACGTCCTTCTACAGAAGAGGGAGGAAATCCCATCTTTGACCTAATGAACGACTGTAAAAGTCTTTGTACATAATCTGCCGAGGGGCGGGGGGGCTAGTCGTGACGTCTACCTAGCGGTCATCAGCCTCGGTGTGCAGCCTCTGGTTATTTTTTTACCTGATTGTGGCACATGGTAACACTTGTTTTTTGTATTTTTTACAAACGCCATCACTAAAGCATGTCTGAGAAGGTCAAGGTGTCCCGTTTTTTACCTTCACCCCTAAAACCACAGGACAGCATGTGTCATTCCTGGTCGGTTGAAGGATGAGTTTGGAGCTGACGGATCGAGGAGACCTTTGACCTTGCTTGTAGCACTGAGGGGTTTCCATGGCTGCATGAGCAGGACCCTTCAGTTCTTGGGCTTGTTTTTAGCCTTAAGACTGTGGTTGTCATTGACATCGCTCTTCATGTTACCTCATCAGAAGTAGTCAAAAAAAAAAAAGAAAAAAGAAAGAATCAATCTATGCAGATATCAATAGAGTGAATGCATTGTTTTGTTTGGTCATTGGTTGTTAATCAATGTGTTAATGAAACATCCAAAACAGAAAGGCCAGAATGGTCCAAACATTTTCATCAAGTATTTTTTAGTTTCTTTTTCGAGGCTATGCACCTATGCACCTCCTCTGTGTTGCAGGAATATTTTACTAATGGTGCTTCTGCTGGTGCTCAAATTAAATGGTGTCAGAAGACCTCATCAGGAGCATCACGTCCTTCTACAGAAGAGGGAGGAAATCCCATCTTTGACCTAATGAACGACTGTAAAAGTCTTTGTACATAATCTGC